GGGGGGTCAGGGAAGAAAATTGCTAATTTAACAGATGTAGCTAAGGGATTCCTAAATTCACATTCCATTTATTGCCAGCAAGAATGTACCTAAAAATCATTTCTATTTGTTCTGCGTGTGTGTGATATTCAACTAAGTAAACACTTATTAGAGGAGACTCAAAGCTAAGTAAGACTTGTTGTTGCTGGGCTCTCTCTCATCCACTAAAAATGTATGAAGATCTGGCTTAGAAGGAACTCTGAAATTAAGTTCCATTTCTTTATGTTTCTCTCCTGCTCAAACTTTTCCCTGCTTCTTAATGTTATTAAGCTGACATAAAGAACTAATCTAGATGAAATGTTATGACATCTGAGATTTGCTTCAAAATAAACAGTAGACAGAGGGGAGAGGAAGGGGGGAAATAAATGAAATAAAGCAGACCATGATCTGAAAATGGATAACTGTGGAAGCTGGGCAAGGACTATTCTACTTTTGCATGTGTCCAAAAAAACCCCCCAAAAACCAAAAAAACAAGGGCTGCCCAGTTAGCTCACTTGGTTAGAGTGTGGTGCTGGAGACAACAATGTCAAGGGTTTGCATCCCCATACCGGCCAACTGCCAAAAACCAAAACAAAACAAAAAGCACAACTTGGGTTGAACTACTCTTTCTTTACATATTTGTGGGTTATACCTTCTCAGTCTAAATGACACAAATAAGGGTTTTGATTCTAACGGACTCCTACAAAAGCTGCCAGGCAGTGTGAAAGGCCACAGCTGACTATAAATTTGTATTCCTGGCACATATAAGCATGACGCCTAGCANTAAATGACACAAATAAGGGTTTTGATTCTAACGGACTCCTACAAAAGCTGCCAGGCAGTGTGAAAGGCCACAGCTGACTATAAATTTGTATTCCTGGCACATATAAGCATGACGCCTAGCACTCTACTGGTACTCAGACACTGGCAGACTGACTGACCAGCATGTTAATCATCCAGTCTACTCAGTCATGTTAAGAAGACATAAAAGAGCAAGTTTTTACTTTGAGAAAAAACACTGCATTTTATAAGCACCAAGATTCTATTTTTAAATAATACTTAAGAAAATAAACCTCTACATAACAGTTAAATATCCATAGTTTTCTTTTTTTTTTTTTTTGTCCTTTTTGTCTTTTTTCGTGTCCGGCAACGGATCGCAACCCTCAGTGTCGCGCCCGTACCGGACCGGGACCGGCAACGGGATCGCAACCCTCAGTGTTGCACCTGCACCTCGCTCAGCCAGTGAGTGGGAACCGGTCTGTATGTGGGATCCGAACCCTCAGCGGGAGCGCCGCCGCACTCCCAAGTGGCGCACTGTAGCAGTGCGCCACCGGGCCAGCCCTAAATATCCATAGTTTTTAAAGAGGGGTACTTCTGTCCTAAACCTGGTAGCCTGGGGTCTCAACCCCCTCTTACTCCCTTTTGGAGCCCCTTGGAAGCAAGGCTGGAGATGGGGACAAACACACAGGAATGCCATTTTCCCATTCCCAGCAAGGGATCTCAGATCCTTCAGAGTTCCCTGACAGCCTAACTGTAATTTTCATTTCTGCTCCAACAAGAATATGGAGTGGCAAAACATGGTATGCATGCATCAGTTAGGATAAACAGAGACCTTATCACACAGCGATGACAGCTGAAAAAGAGCCTACGAGTGCTGATTTATGACACCTTCCCTTTCCATATATGGATATGAATCCAAGCACATCCAGATCTACAGCTTAACCCTCCTGTGATAACTGAAGAGATGATGTTGCTGGGGTTCTTTGTAAACACCCCTTTGGGAGGACAAAGTGCACAGCTATGTTTTCATCCATCTTGCTTTACTATTTCTAAATTCTACTCAAACTTAGTCAGAGACACAAGTGAGACAAGGAGTAAATCTGGGGTTCAAATTATGATTTTTTTTTTCTTTTTGTCTTTTTTCGTGACCGGTAACGGGATCACAACCCTCAGTGTTGCGCCCGTACCGCGACTGGCAACGGGATCATAACCCTCAGTGTCGCACCTGCACCGCGCTCAACCAGTGAGCGGACCGTCTCTATATGGGATCTGAACCCTCGGCAGGAGCGCCGCCGCGCTCCCAAGCGCCGCACTCTACCGAGTGCGCCACCGAGCCGGCCCCAAATTATGATTTTTAAGCCACTTTATGACTTTATGAGCTCAAGGACAGCATGGCCTTCTCATGTCTGCATTTACCCCAGCATTTAACATGATGCTTTGCACCTGTAGGTTGTTCATGAGGGGGAAAAGGTAGTTCTATCTACAACATTTTGACTTCCTTAAAACACCACTAATTTATGCTTCATAAGACCTCATGAATTCAAGACAGTTGAATTCATGAATTCAAGATAGTATACTGTTATATTTATTTTCAGGTATATTCTATTTAAAGAATCCTTATTGGGCATAAAATTATCAAAACTTTAAGACACTGACTCAAGATAATTCTGTTTCAGTTTATTTAATATGAATCAGGACAGGCCACCTCCAGAACTGCAGAAAGTGCGAGAGGATGTGAATCAAATTCTCCCAGTTCAGGGTCCAACATCTTTCGTCAGCAGCTTCCTGACTGGTCTTCCTGCCGCCAGGCCCCTTACATTTTCTGTCCATCCAGCTGCCTGACTGATTGCTCTAAATGACACTAACCTGCTTACACCACGCTGTTTCTTACCTCATCCTTTAAGACAGCTCAGGTATTCTGTCCCAAAAGCCTTCTCTAACAGCATCTGCCTTTGCTCTCCTATCAGGGCTGAGTTTATGTGTACCTAGTCTACAGAAATTTCTCCCTTAGAAATCTGTGCATAGCCCTGTCACTGTTCTTAGCAAAGGCCTTAAAACGACAGGTTTATGTGTCTGTCTTCCCAAGATGGAGAAGGTTCCTAAAGAGCCTTAACAGGTTCTTAATCATCTTTCTATCATCAGCATCTAGCACAGTGCCTGGCATACATGAGGTGCAGAGTAAATGTGCACCTAAATGAATGAAGCCCAACTCACTGTCCTCCCTGCCTTCCTGAACATTTGCTCTCCTCCTTGGGGGAAATGTTCTCCCAAAGTATGGCTCCAGCTCTGTGGACTGCCTCAGCTGAAATGATTCCTGTACCCAAGCCTGCTCACCCTATCCCAACATCACACCCACAGCACAAGTATGCCAACAATCACCTAATTTGTGAGAGCTACAAACCGTCGTTAATCTCACAATCACCTAACCTCTTCTGCTCAGTACTGGATAAATTAAGGTTTGGCCTGCCTCCTTGGTAAGGCTAAATACTAAAATAAGAGATAAGAATGCAAGGGACAATCTGAGGAAAGTACAAATTCTTTCAGTTTGAAGACAGTCTGGGAGACAGTACATAAGAGAAGTGGGGAGACACCAGAGTTAGGGAGATGACTATATTTCTGATGTGTTCCAAAAGGATGGGTCTATCCCATCTTGGGAATCTTCTTCTGGATATTGAAGTTATCATTTTGACAAGAGATTTTTCTCCCTTTGGGAGTAGATTTCTAATGTTATAATAATGAGAATCGATGGGAAAACATGACTGATTTTTACTGAGATTGACTTTATAGCTAATTTTTGCTATAACATTTTTCCTTTTTTTTTTTAACCTTTTTTTTGTTTTGGTAGCTGGCCAGTAAGTGGATCCAAACCCTTGACTTGGTATGGTAACACCTTCTATAATGTTTTTCTATAAAGCTAAGGATACCTGTTGAAAGAAAATAGCTGTATTAATCCATATTTGGGAGCATCAGTCTGACTTACTGGTAGTAAATCGGAAACGAAAGTTTTTCTTCTGACTTTTCTTTTATGAGGAATTTCTTCCATTTCATCATCTTCAATCAAATCATCACCATTAGCATTCTCTAATACTTCCTCCATCTCTGCAGCAGTTTTTAACTTTTGAGTTTCAGCCTCCTTCATTTGAATAACCGTTTCACCAGCATCCATATCCAAAACTTCAGATAAGATCTTTAATATGGCATTTATGATTTCTGCCTGACTCTTGGATGGGATAATGTCCTTTAGATTCCAAATTGTACCTGGGAAAAAATGAGCATAAGGACAAAGGAATCACCTGTGAAATCTTTTATTAAGTAGTTTCCACAAGACTGATTCTTTACACTCAGGTATAATTTCAAAAAATCTTGACCCCACTGCCTTTTTTCATTTTTTATTAAATGTAAAAAAGTATTGCATTGGGGCCGGCCCGGTGGCGCACTGGATAGTGCGCCGCTTGGGAAGCGCGGTGGCGCTCCTGCTCGAGGGTTCGGATCCCACATACAGACCGGTTCCCGCTCACTGGCTGAGCGAGGCATGGGGGCGACGCTGAGGGTTGCAATCCCGTTGCCGGTCCCCGGCCCGGTGCGGGGGCAACACTGAGGGTTGC